ACAATACGGTGTGAACGGCACTGTGCCAAAGTCGCCAACCCCAAATTGTGGGAGCCTGAAAAAGCTTTTGTGTAAGAGGGGACCCCCGACCTTCATCTGGAGACACACTGGAGTCAGGCAGGGGACAGGTCGGGAAGCCATTTCAGACAGGACAGTATGTGCAAAGCTAGGGAGGCAGGAGAAAACGTGGTGCTCGGGGAAACCACAGCAAAGTACACAGGGCTAGAATGAACACTGTGCAGGAGAGAAGGATAAAAAGGAGGGGCAGAGTTACATCTCGGAGGGCAGTATATATTCTGATGGGAATGAAAGTCACACAGCAGAGTGCCACGGTCAGGTCTGTAGCCATGTGGCGGGCAGCATGGACAAAAAGAGACTAGACCTGGAAGGCCAGGGTGGAAGCTATTACAATGACCTAAGATGAGAATGATTCGAGGACAGGGCAGCGGAGACGAAAGAAGAGGGCCAGTGTGAGCACTCTCTGTGTGTAGAGTCAGAAGGACTTGGAGAACAGCTGGGTGCCTGGGGGAGTGAGGGAAGGAAGGAGGTAAGGACACCTGGAGTGTTTTCAGCCAGGGGAGCTGGGCAGGGTGGTTGTGCCATTCTCCAAGGAGAGCTGATCTGGATTACCGGCCAAGAACTTAGACTTGCACTGTCCACTCCTGTAATCACCATGTGGCTATTAAATTAATTTAAATTAATTTCTGTTCCTCAGTTCCATCAGCCACATTTCAAGTGCTCAACAGCCACATGTGCACAGGGGCTACTGTTTGGGCAGTACAGGTCTAGAACATTCCAAAGATCACAGAAAGTTCTCCTGGACAACACTGACTTAGGTTACCTTAATGAACTAATATATTCAACCGAATTATTAAAATAAATGGCTAATAATTACTTTTGCTGTTGATGTTTCTGGATGGTTCTATGTAATTCTTCTACTTCATGTTCTAAGTCTCTCTTCTCTTGTAAAAGATCATCAATATTATGACGTAGTTCTTCCATTTCTTTCTCAGACTGCCGCTTGGATACTCTCATCCATGGTTCCCGTTTCTTTGATTTTAAATGCTGCATTATGTCTTCCAATCTAGAAACTTCATTCTCCTAAA